ATTTTTTTATGGACAATTTCCGAACTGTTATTGAAATCATAAACTGGCCTGTAGTGGACATTCATTGAAAACTAAGTCAATTCACAATATCATCAATATTCAATCAATAATTGGGACAAATCTCTTTATTTTTAAGATGAATTAAAAGTGAACTTAATACTGAACAAAAATTAGACTTGATTAAAACATATTTTAGTTTGTTCTTCGAATTACTGATGAGTCTGAAAGTAGTATGAAGTAGTTGCTAATTATGAGTGAGAACACCATTCAAATTCTATTAAAACGTTTTACAAATAATTTGAATAGATCAAATCAAATGGTAATTAGAAAATAATATATGAAATGTGATTAAAAGCTTATTTTCTTCCAATTAACAAGAAGAAATATGTTTAACAAATATTTTGTGGTTTACATAATCAACTGATCTTTGTTGGCTAACTCTAAAACCAGATAGCAATAGACAGGTGTTTTATTATGACTTGGATTTCTAAACAGTGCACGTCCATGAGGATCAAATCCAAAATCTTCCGGTCTCTTAGTAAGCAGTTAACTGGCGTCTAATCATTTACATGTTTATGTTATAACTTGTGAGTTTACGCCCCTATCAATGTATAATGTAATGATACCGCCAATTAGAGAGCAGTAATTTATCGACCGGACCAATGTTCGTATAGAAGGTATCGTGAAAATACGTATAGTAATAGTCCAGAAATAGATTCCAATAGTTATCATTAATTATTCTCATCGGGATGTAACAGTTTTAGCTCAGTTAGTCCTTGATATTACACAACCATCTTTCAATAGCATCGGTTGGTAAATATTGCGATATAGACAGGTGGAATCACGTGCTGATGATGTCATCCAGAATGACAATTGTGGCTTCACAACTAAACTATTAAGATCAAAGAAAATAACATCTCCATGATCCTTATACTGAGTTACAAATATTCACTATTATAGTTGAACTCTATTGGTCACACTTTCTCATTAAAACTCTGAGAATTACCTCTCTCTCTCTCTCTCGGGAGAAGTCCCACTTTGTAAAAGTTTCATACTAGAATGAAATAACTGTCCAGTACCATCTGACTGTCTAAGATAAGTTCATCAAGTTAACTAATAAAAACTCAATAATCTCAACAATTCCTTTACATTAATATACATTTATCTTTTCTTTTTTAATTGTCCAGTTACATCATACGTTGATAATGTAACATTTACAAACGGAATTAGATATAGACAACTGATTTAGAATCTATTCGTTATGAAAACACACACACACAAAACTCAACTGAATGGTGATATGTGACAGTGTGTTAAATTAGATTAATGTAGAAAAAATTAAGATTATTTGTATAGAAAAAATGTTAATTACTTTCATTCATAATAAACATTCAATCAGAATATTCTGAAGTTAACTATTGATCGATGAAAATTATTTTTTTAATATCTAACTACAGTTTTTTTGTTGTTGAAAAAAACAACATTTTTTTGTATTTCACGTAAATGTACTTCAATAGTTTTGTGTTGTTGATGAGGTGTGCAATTGAGTTGTTATGCGAAAATCTTAAGTCATATTCTCAGTCCCATCATATATATGTATAGTTATACCATGAAGATATAACTCAATGACGTATGTAATTGTGTAACAGAATTTCCAATGAAGAATGAAGATATATTATATACAATATTTTATATTATAATCATGTTTATAATTAATTATTTTAATTATTGGTTAAACGAAACTGATTATAATAATAAGAATATGATTGTTATAATTTAAAAGTTAAAATATAGTGATTACTTACTTACATACTAACGCCTGTTACCCCCCAATGGAGCATAGTCCACTAATAAGCATTCTCTAACCCAATCTGTATTGGGCCTTCATTTATAGTTCTATCCAGTTGTTCACTGGTATTATTTGGATTGTATCTTCCCATTGAGGTTTAAGACTGCAGTTGGTCAGTCTGTTATTGACATATGTGCATACTGTGCGTATGCCTCGATATCACCTTAATTCACAAGCTTTTTGTAAGCAATGATGGATAGTGGCCAGCAGTGAATCCAGTTTGACGCGCGTTTCGTCCTATTTGGGACTCGTCAGCTGGATGTACCTGCATCCCAGAGTTGATGTCCACTCTTGAACGAGTCCCAAATACGACGAGACGCACGTCCTGGATTTCACTGCTAGCCACCATCCATCATTGCTTACTATCCAGTTGTTGTTTATGCTAATCATGTCTGTCTCCATTTCTCAGCGTAATGTGTTTCTTTGTTCTTTTCTATTCTCTTTTGGCCTTGAGGATTCCAAGTAAAAGTTTGTCTTGTAACACAGTTGGGTGCTCTTCTCAATGTATGTTCTATACACTTCTAGTGTTTCTTTCTGATTTCTTAATCCACTGGAATCTGGTTTGTTCTCTCCCACAGTACGTTGTTGCTGATAGTGTCTGGATAACGGATTTAAAGTAAATATTTAGTGATACATTAATGAATTTATAGCAATTCTAATAATGATAATATCAGAGTTGTTGAAATGTTATCAAAAAAAGGTGAAATTAAACTCTTGATTTATTGGAATACAATGGGCAGTTCAACGATTCGAAATTCTCAGATGAGTGAGCTCTATTGTACCATGAACACCAACAAATCCTGATGAGGATAACTAGTGTAGCAGCAGCCTGTGCATCAGTAGGCTTCAACATACATAAGGGATAAAGAAAGATTCTTAAATACAAGATGGATAACACCAATCCAATCATACTTGATGGAGAAGCTCTGGGTGAGGTAGCATAAACAAGGGGAATCTGATAAAGACGTAAATACAAGTACTGGAAAACCGACACAGTATTCCTACAATTGAAGAACATAGAAACTAGAACAATTACTAGTCAACATGTAAGTCACAGTCTATAATACGAATGTCAAGACAATTCTACTGTATGGAACTGAAATCCCGAGAACTACTACAAATAACATCACAAGGTACAAGTATTTATAAACAATTATCTACGCAAGATACTCAATGTCCGTTGACTGGATAGCATCAGTAAGAGCTTATTGTGAGAGAGAAGAAACGAGCTTCCAACTGAAGAGGAAATTAGAAAATACGTTGGAAGTGGATATGATATACATTGAGAAAATCACTTAACTGCATCACGATGCAAGTACTAACTTAGAATCTTGAATGGAAAGGAAAAGAGGAGGACTAAGGTACATATTGCGTCAGGAATTGGAAGAAGATATGGAAAGAATGAATAGCAACTGGAAACAATTGCAAAGAATTGTCTAGGTTGGTCTAGGTTCCTCCACGTGGAGTAACATGCGTAAGTAAGTTATTCATAAAAATGATAGTTTGTTAAAGTTGATAAGTAAAAGACAAGAAGTGAACAGAGACAGTTCTCAAGGTAGAATTAATCTCATATTGACTACCTTGAAATAATAAAAACAATGAGTCAGAATAAAGATAAGGATTGTTGAACTGAAGTTTAAATTTTATAACAAACTAATAGATATTGGACAACATGTGTTTGACTAAATTCCATATTTTGAATTGTTTGGATGATAATATAATCGTTGATCATTTACGGAACCTTGAAGTATTGAGAAACAGCATTCAATATAACTACGGGGGGGGCGGGAGGGTGAATAACGTACAGAAAAGGTAAAGTATTAAGAGAGTAGGTTGTTTTACGAAGCATTATATGTTATGAAAAAAGGTCTATCAAAAATAAGGCGTTGTTTTTTACAAGACTAAAGCTAAAATATCAACAAATTCTGATGAATGAATGAACTTTTTAGTATCTTAATCCTTTGCTCAACCTGCATTCTAATAGCTAATGTATTAAGACTAGAATGTTAGGAACCGATCGTAACAACAAAATTCTATATACGTTGTAACTATTGTATTTTAGCAAATACTATTCACTTGCGAGATCTGCACTCAGATGGACTAGCATCTTTTCCATCGATCACTCAGCCACTCTTCTACTCTTTTTAGTATGAGGGTTTTGTAGAGTATCTTAAAGTTCTGGATTTTGACCTCCATTAGTGCTGTACATTCTCACTATTATTAAGGTGTATCATACTAGAACAAAACATTTGTCTAATGCTTTCTGGCTTCTAGTGGCTGTCATAATCTCAGTGAAATAGTTTTGGTTGCTAAATAGTTTCGTGTTATTACGACAACCTTTGACCATCTAATATCTATACCTACTATATCCGATGTCAAGTAAACTAAACTATCCACAACAGTGTAACAAAATTTACTTCTCGAATTTTAGTATTAATGATTATTCAGCTTTAGTAAAATGATTTATAGTTAATATACTTTCATATTAAGTTAACTAATTTGTCTAATTATGTAATTTCATTTGGACTTTAATAATTATGATTTAGGAATGATATGAATATTGGAAAAAAAAGAACAGAAGACCTATGAAAATTCTAAATTCACTTGGTATTATTTACTTGAATCTTCCCATTGATGCTTTTAGGACTGCAATTGATCAGTCTGTTATTGGCAATATGTACATACTGTGAGTATTGCCTCGATGTAGCCTTAATTCAAAAGCATTATAGGCATTGATGGATAGTGGTTAGCAGTGGAATCCAGTTTGATGCACGTTTCGTCCTATTCTAGGAACTACATCTTAGAGTTGATATTCACTCTTGAACTCAAACCCATTACCATTCACTTCAAACGCCATCGAACTATCCACTTAGCTATTGAGTCCTAATAGCCACTTACTTGTGCTTGTGTACCTGAAATGCAGGCACATTCAGCTGATGAGTCCCAAATAGGACGAAACATGCGTCTTGGATCTCACTGCTAGTTATTATCCATCTTTGTTTATAAAAATTCTAGTTGTGTAATATGATTGATAGTTTTAAGTTAATTTCAGCTAAAATGTACTTTAAACAACCTGTTTTCTATGTTTTGAATTATGTGAATTGTTTTAATTGTTATTATTGTTCTGTGAAAATAAACTTTGTTATTTTCAGTTATAAGTTACTATAAAACATTATACTTTATGAGTGTTGTTATATAAGATAAAGATTAACATTCGGTCTTTTTTTATTACTTTAAATCAACTATTGAAATATGCATCATCATTTATCTCTAGTTCTTTTTATTCTATTAACCATAGTGAGTATTAAACAAACCAATGGAATACCAAGTAAGTTAGTTATCTTTTGTATAATAAAGAGATACTTTTAAAAAAACTTTAAGTATTCATTCGCGTGTTGTTTATTTGAATCTTCTCATGAATGTTTGGAACTGAAATTGATCAATCTTTTATTGGGATATATGTACATCATTTGTGGATTGCCTTGATACTGTTATAAGTCATAGGGATTATGAGCAAAGATGGATAGGGAATTCAACTGACAAGTCTCAAATAGGATGAGACGTGCGTCTCAAATTTCAGTGCTAGACGCCATCTATATTGTTATAACTTGTGACCGCCGATTAAGGGGCAGTGAATTATCGATCAGACCAATTACGTGTAAAACACGAACAAGCAGCCCAGAAACCTGATTGGTTCTGATTTCCGCCTAGCCCAGCCAGTTAAGTCCAGAACACCAGTCCGAGACTCTGCGATATGAATCATTATATTTCAAAAATACCGAGTTTATATACCAATCAAACAGACCACAACGTAGCATAAAATAGAAAATAACATTTGTACAAAATTTGGCCAAATGTGGCTGTGAATGTGTGTAGCAGTGACTAATAGACAGGGCATAATTCAAGAATGGTAAAACGTATAATAATAGTTCATAGGTCAAAATAAATCTTATAAGAGGAACATGAATATAAATAGTTTAGTTACTTAACAATTATACGATAAAAATATACGTTTAGTATTGTTCCATAAAAGGATCCCCAAGTTACCATTTATTATGTTTATCGGGACCTAACATATATTTGCTTTGTTTAAGAAGTTTAAAGATGTTTTTCAAGTGAAATATCTGAATTCATGTAAATTTTAGTTACTGATAGCACTCAAACAAAATTTTTATGTATAATATCTTCTATTCAATCGGTATTCAGTTTATTTCAAACCTTACAAGTTGAAATTGTCATTTTAAGAATGTCAATTTTCATTTAGAATTGAATGAACGAGTCGGACTAAGCATTAGATACACTGATTCGTAACTGAGTAGTAACTAGTGTCGTATTTATCTAGCCTTTAAGCGTTGATCAAATTCTGTCGATCAAACCTAAGTGATTCGATAATCGCGCATACTATGTTTTGATGTTAGATGATTAACAATGGTCGGATTCTAAAGCTGGGCAATATCATATGGTTCAGCGTTTCCATAAAGTTGGCAGGTGTACCTTGCTGATTTGTCACAGGGTATCTTATGGACTATCTAAAATTATCTGACATTATGTCCGTACTCTTTCAAGTTTGATAAATCTCGTTTATTGCAAATTATGCTATGTAAAAGCAGACAGTCACATCAACTGTCACAGGTACTACTGCGGTAAACTAAAACTCAATACGGTACATTTATAAAACATGAAAATCATACATTTAATACATCGTTTGCATATCTTCCTTCACTTGTCCTTCACATTTCATCAGTCTTCCAATCCTTTCGTTATACTGATCGTTATCTGGTTTCGTTCCGCTTCTCTTTATTTCACTCTTTTGCTGTTGAGCATTTCACTCCCTATTCCAGGCGGAGTTAATCCTGCTACACACTGCTTATATCTATCCATATAGAAAGAGCAAATCACACTACCATTTTGTTGTTTGATGATGAAAAATATATCAAAAAGAGAAGAAAGCTATTTTTTCTTAGTAATTTATAACACTTAGTAGATTAACTCCAACAGTTATGGAATGAAACATAAACGTTTGTATTCATATAAATGTATATAATTTATTGCTTAACTTACTAGTCTTTTGAATGGTATCGATACTTCCAAAGTGTTGTTAAAGCTAGCTCATAAAGTCTAGACTAATAAATAACAATTTAATAGTTGAATTCATGAGTCAATCTAAGCCAGACCACCATGGAAAACCTGGAAGTACTGGATGGCACTTTCGTCCTAGTATGCGACTGCTCAGCAGTGCGCATCTACGGTCTCGCTCGTGGGACTTGAGCACAGGGCCTATCGGTATTGCGCGCGAACGCTTAACCTTTAGACCACTGAGCCGACCGGCATCTAACGGTGTTAATGTCTAACTTTAACCAATTCACGAATAAATAACAAGTAAATATTATTCCATTTCATCAATAACAGGTTGTTCAAAGTTGTTAACATCACTACATTACATATATTTAAAACCATATGTCATAATACAACAACCTTATAAAACGTAATAAATTAATGTTTCACCTTTGCAGTTATAAAAAGGGTATTCAAGTGTTACTTAATTGACTGAAGATTATCACACTACAATAAATTCACTAAAATCATTAAAAGCTATTTTGAAGCTTTACCAGTGATTCATTTTGTGGTCATCCAGCTAAATGAAAAGTTGACCAGTTAAACTGACAATTATCAAGTAATACGGTGTCAAAATTACTCGTAAATCATAGACAGTTATGTGCATAATACATGTAAGTAATTTCCCGTTATAATATGACAAAACAATGTCATATATATTTTCATAATGATAAGTCTTGGTTCTTCTTACTCCCCCCGGTCGCCACTGACATGTCTTCTCAAATTTTTTTGAAAATCGACTAGGATCGTTGTCGTTGTGTTTTGGGGTTAATAAATCTTCACTTATACCTGTTTTTGTGTTCTTACTTTCGCGTCGTGTGAATTGTAGAGGTCCCTTATTTCGAGTATAAGTGATAATCGATTCCTAAATAACAATCAGCGACGACCAGATATAACAAGTAGTGTTCAATCGGCAAGACAAATTACATCATATTCATAGTTGAGTTTCCACTGTTTCATTCATTCAATGAGTAGTATACATATAATACATTTTCCTATTTGTGAATAATATGTATTTCTGATATTGTGATATTCAGCATCTGTACCTAATTTAAATATTATAAACTATTCAATTCAGAAGGTTATCTGTCAATGTAAACTATGAAAACATGTCCAGTAAAGTTTCTTTTTTTTGTATTTCATCATAATAGTATAGTTGGTACTTAAACGTTTGTTGTATTTGATCATTGTAGGCGTTTATTCAGTTTGTGCAAATTTAACCCAAAGGTGTGAACCACTTTATCCATGTTGTTCACCAAATCTTTGTCAAGTAATAAGTTGTGGAATTGGTACGTGTGTAAAATGTTTTGAACCAGAAGTTGATTGTCAATATAATCATGAATGTTGTAGTGGTCTCTGCTATAAACATGCTTGTACATTTTTATCACCAAACTAGCTTATGTTACATACATATCGTATTATATCGTCTACAATAATAAACATATAATGATTTAAAATGTTCTCCAATTGTTTGATTACTTTCGACATAACTATAATGACTGTTTAATAGTTTTCTGACATAAAAGAATAATTGCACATTAATTAATTTTATATTGTAAATAGTCGTTTACATTCAACTTGTAATGTATGCAATACTTCCAACATAATTATTAGATTCAGTTCGGTATCATTTACTAGTACCATTTATTATTATGAAAACTTAGAGTTCATAGACCACAAAGTATATTATTTCATAAATCAACAGTCATTCAAGTACTTCAAATCTGGTATAATCGATAGGATACTTTATAATAATATACTTAATGTTTTTAGAATAAAATGTACTTCTGAAACTTCAGAGTAACCAATCATTGAATGATGAACTGAACATATAATATATTCACAATTATATAAAAATTCTAATTATGATTCGCATTCCCATTAATCATATCTATAATCATAAAAAATTTCTGTTCTAACGACTGGATAATATATAATATTTACACCATCAAACAATCTGTAATTCTGTGAAGGTACTTTGGCAAACTAAGTCACTAATTGGTTGAAAATTATGACGAATCTAAGCAGTGATTAGACTGTCAAAACAACAAATACAAGGCGTTTCGTGACTTATTGTAAGTGACTTCTTCAGAAGTGACTTATACTAAGTCACGAAACGTCAGAAAATTTAATTTTTCTACTCATTGGGGTATTACAAATATATTAATTTATTTATAACAATCTATAAGATGCTCAATTTATTCGAAATTATCAAGTCAAACCTACAAATAAATACAAAGGAAATGTGTACAATAAGTTACAGAATGGCACTCGATTGTTGAATTGAAACCTCACATTTTTCAAAAAAATGATTAGAGTAATTCATCTGAGAAATATGTAAATTAATGAACATAAATGAAGTTGTAAAATGCAATGAACAAATGAAATTTAATGACAAAAATTAGTGTATTACCTGTTTCATTAAGCAGAAGATCAGGTTCGACATAGAAATAACAGGTAATAACGGATGGGATAAATGGTTTTCTAGAAAAATGATATCAACTTTCACAGTATAGAAATTTTGTAAATGATTTGATAAAACTTGAACTAGTCATGGATAATAGTCTATTATAAAACCGGAAAGAAGATGAAGTTCATAGATGTCAATTAATTTCACGTACTCTCCAGTTGATGTGCAATCATATAACCAATTAGACAATCACTCAACGATAGCACTGAATGACTTCTGTGATATTTTGGCAAATGACTAAACCTAAAGATGCTTAGTGTCAAACTCAAACTCAATGAATCTGTGGAAATGCAGTCATTTTAGATAAAAATATTTCAGTTTCGAAAAGAGAAAGAGTAATAAGGTTTTGTAATGAATTTATTCTATCCCAAGGATTTACATCATCTACAAATAACCTTAAGTTACAAGGAGTTATGTGGCTACTTAGTGTAAGATCCTAGACCAAAAAGAAATGAATATATTACAGCTACAATTCATAAAACTAATAACCGATCACTTTAATTTTGAAGCTGAATGGATGATAATGGTTCTACAATCCCCTATGAGTAACGTCTCATTACAACAAGTCACAAAATATAGATTTTATATTAAATTGTTATCATTGTAGCCTTGATCTACTATCTACGAAATACAAGTCACTCCGGCTCTAGCCAAATTACACACAAGGTGTTTACGTAGTTTGAGGAAAAGACTTAAACGTAGTAGGAATGCTCATTAGATAAAATGGTTGCGTATACGAAACGCATAGCAACAAAACAGATTTTTCACTGTTCTATTGTCATAGATAAAGAAAAATTTAAAAACGTTGGTTTGTGATGTTTAACACCGTTTTTATCAGTTAAGATTTCAATTCCTAAACAATATACAACGTGATATGCTAGGTCAGTCAGACATCAATCAATTGAGAAACTCACGTGGTTGGCATGATATGGCTTCCACTACCAAGGAAAGAGACATAGATCATCGGCAAAAAATTTGGCCTGAAGTTTTGAGGAAATAAATTATTTATACGTATGAGTGAGTGTACAGCAACTTCTCGACTTGGTCGTCTGTCGAGTCGTTTTCCTCTCATCCACTCTCTCAATCTGAATCTCGTCCCCGGTGTTCATACTAAGTAGCTGGTTGGCCTTGTGAACGGGAATCTCGCATATCATCATCATATTTCTACACCGCACTACGAAATATACCATGCAAGGAAATCTCGCTCTGATGTAATGTTCTGAGAATAAGTATTTTCCTAATAACAGGTTGATGAATATTAGGAAATATCCGTTCATACTAAATCTGCTCTCTTTTGCATAGAGTTGACATAGCTTTGAAAACATTTTTATAATATTAACGGTTTTCCTGCAGTTCACAGAAAATATAACCGATGTTAACCAAACCTAGAACCGCAAATTTTCTCTTCAGTTATTCATCAACAACAATTATAATGACATATCTTCTTGAATTCCAAAATCGTAAATTACCAACCGACTATCTGAATAATTATTGTATGAATCTAAGCTGATATTGTCGACAAAGTAACAATGGAAAATCCTTAGAAACTTGTCTATGCAGTAGTAGGTGGTGTAACAGAAATATGAATTCCACCAACTCCTCGATTCACCGAAGTATGACTTTATAAAATAATCAAAACGTTCAAGTTGCTTTGAACTGTCAACATATTTTCACGCCATTGGCTCAATTTTATGTATTAAGTTATACTACTTATTGTTAATATTCAGTAGTTTATGTACCGTCAGTAAGTTTTGTAAGTTTTCATGTTAGATGTTTGTCGCCGGTAATGAACTATTGATCATAAAAAGCTGCATTGTTATTCAGTTTTTGATTCTAGCCTCTTGCGCGAGATAGCGTTTCTCTTCCCTTCTTAATAACCAGATTATGGTGATCTCGAAACCCCATTGAGCATCTCAATCCATTGAATGAAGTTCAGACTCAATCAGTTGTTCTACTAAGAAGGGATAAGTAGACATAATGAGAAATATAGAAAAGCACACATCATTGTCCGTATGGGGTTTGAAATATGTCTTTATATATATTTAAGGACGAATTCTGATTACTAACTGTTAAGATACGTGCATCCTGTGCGGATTCCCTCAAGATAATTATTATTTCACAAGTTTTTTTGAATAGATGGATAGTGAATAACAGAGAAGTTCAAAATAATTCCTTCGTACATTCTAGAACTCGTAAGTTTCATGGGATAAAATCTTAACTATAAAAACATGATATGTGTTAAAATAGTCGGTGGCTATCTGAACTCAATAGCACAGTGGATAACTTGTTAAGTAATTCAAGATGGATGTAATGATTTCGAAACCGGAATGCAGCTACATCAGACTGATGAGTTATAATTAAACAAACATGTGTTCTGGGTTCCACTCTGGGCAACAGTTCACTATTTCTGATTGTAAGATAACAAATATTGGATGGGATATATGTAAGAATAGATATGGTCATCTGATATGATTGTTTTTATCTAGTTTTGGTCAACAACTTAAATGAAAACCGTGTTTATTCCAAATAGTTGATTTCAACAAATATTTTGACTGTGCTTTGCAAGTTTTTTAGACACTAGGACTGCGTTCATTTTTCAAGAGGCTACTTTAAGGATTCTCATCAAAACCATTTTAAGTGTTAGGTTATACAATAGTCATTCTAAAGCCAATACAAAGTTAATGTTCTCAAAATTCTGCTATTTAATTACATACATCCAAATCCGAATTTCTGGAACTGTTTGACTGGAGAACTTGGACCTGCCGAAACACTTGCTCGTCATGATACCTTGAGAAAATTGCTATGATTCGGACATTTTATCCTACCTTAAAGGTACAGGGATCACTACAATTACTCAAACGTAATTCTATATTTAAGCCATATTTAGTACTGTAGCGCAATGTACGTTCGTCACCATTGAAATATATCGATGGTCCGTCAATAATATCTGATTGCAGTGATTATTGATGGTGCGTTATCGCTATAGCCTACTGAAGACTCTACCATATGCAATATACTATTTGGTTTCATCGTTAGTGCTTCCGCATAGCTCACCATTGTTGCTACGCTGAATGTCGGCATTTTATAACTGTTAGAAATAATAGTCATCAATTTAGCATGGTAGTGGGTGCTGTCATTAAATGATTAGCAAAAAACTTTCAAGCCCAATGTACTAGATAAGTATATAACCGTAAAGAAAACGTAAAAGTATATTGACACCTTCACTTGTATTTATAGTAAAATGGTCCGGTCCCAAGCCCGGATAAAGGAGGGGGGTTGGGCATGAGATCAGCGACCCAATCCCGTAGAAAACTAACTCGCTAGAAAAACTAACCAGTAAAATGGTTAACTTAACTTAAAGTTATTCTCTTAGTATTTTTGCATTTGAGACGTTTTTATATAGGATGAGGAAGAATATAAATATCTGGTACTGAAGATGCAACAGTGTAAACGAAAGGAACATATGGTCTCCGCCACCATGAAAGAGCTTGCTACAAGGTTCTATATAATTGTATTTCCTGACTCCATTCATTGCCTCTTTGAGAATTGAGATGAATCAATGAAAAAAGGTTAAAGTTGATAAAGAGAATTCACGAAAGATCACATTTTCATACAGTTGTGTTTCAATAGTTGATCTCGTTTCATTTAAGAGTCATGTAGTCTTTGTTGATCTTCCTATTCTTTATTTCCTGGTCAGCTACTTAATATTATGGAGTAGTTTAATTATTTCAAGTTAATAATGCTAACGATGGTTGAATGTACAAAATTACACACTGGTACTTAGTAAACTTTTTGATGACTAGAATTGTGAGTAGAACAGAAAATGACTTCAAGTCAACTGATCAGTACACTTTTGGAAACTCATGAATTTATGAGTGGATAGTAGTGATCTTACTACAATGAATTAGATGCAGTCAAATAAAACATCGTCTTACCGAAATATAACTGATGTAGAGAACATGTATCATTTTAACACTGGAGGCAAATTTTCCTCCTTTGCTTTCAATCCCGATTCATAATGGAAGTCAACCTGTCAGTATCTATATAATCTCCAGAAATGTAAACGCTCCCTGAAAATAATTTGTTTCTAAAGTTTCTTATCATTTTCGATGATTATTTGTCATGAATATGTTAATAAGTCTCCTCAGGAGTTTGTGTTCTGCTTGTGAAGTAAACGGCATTTTATCCACAAAATGATAAAACATTTGTCAGATATATATGTAACTAATCATAAATGAGTAATAATTGCAATGAATTCAATCAATTTTAAACGAACGATATGCCTTGTCATATTTGCCAATAATAAGTAATTACCATTGCTACTTCTGATATATCAGTCATGATTTTTCTGATAGTATTAAAAA